CGGGCCAACAGGTGTTCCTTATTCGAACCCTGTCGGGCCAGCAGGTGTTCCTTTGGCTCCTGAGAGTTGACTGAGATTTGGTTTGACCGATTTTGTGCTCTGAACAGAACTATCGGTTCGTAGGCCGCAACTGTTTTTTCAACAACAGGGGCCTTTTTTCCATCCACAGGAGTTTGGGTCATTATCCTCCACCCAATGGCCCTAATGATGGCCATGTTTTCAACAGAGGCTTTCTTCTGGGCAGACTCCGCCACTTTAATGAAGTCTTCTACCCTTGTGAGTAGCTGGGCCACAACAATTTTGTGGCACCCGCTAAAGTTGCAACAAAGGCTATGATTGCAACCTGATTAGCCTCTTTTGCCTGAATTAGAAAGCTCTTCATTCGGGCTGTAGTCCTCACAGTTGCATACTGCTTCGACGCTTTCACATAATCTTCAGTAATCTTTCTTAAACTTTCAGCTCTCTAGAGAAGTGTGACTTTCTTCGTCACACTAGTTACCTTCGGGACAGCCAAGAGCTTTCGCTCCGGAGCCCCTTGGGCGATAGGGGAAAGAATTGCATCTTTCCAGGATTTCACTGGTTCTTCCTTTGGGACAGCCAAGAGCATTCGCTCCGGAGCCCCTTGGGTGATGGGTTCTATCTCCACCCTTGGTGATTTCAGAACCACTGGAGTGTAGGTTTGTCTCTTGACAGTTGCTTCAGTATTCCTATAACAAAAGAATACGTCAGTAAGTTTCAACTATATATATATATATTTTGTTCTTCAAAAGATAAGATGAGAAATAAGTCCCACTGGGCGTGCCAGAATTTGTAGACACAAATTTTAAAACATGAAGTGTTTCAACACATTTCAAAATTTTATGTTACAAATGTCCACTGTTTAGTTTTTTGGACTAAACAGTGTTGATTATTTGAATAGCAGGTTCCTATTTCCGATCTGTATTCCTGATCGTTAATTACACATTTTTTATATAAATGAAACCTCCGATTAATGAAGAACAAAATAAATGACAGGAGATAATTTAAGAAAAAATAAATATTTTATTAAAATTGTTATGGGTTGTAATCATCAATTAATCAATCAATAATACATAAATTCTTACATGGTATCAGAGCAAGGTTAAAGATCTTGGTGTTCTTCGCCTTCCGGCGGGCGGCAACCTTGCCTTGACCGCCCGCCGGATCTCACCCAATTCTATCAGTAATCCTCTTGTGTGTTCCAGATGCCTTTGGCCATTTGGAAATTTTCCAAGCTATCTCCTCGACATTCTCTGTCTCCCAGCCATGAACTTTTGAAAAGCTCCCCTCCACGTGGCGTCATCCTGATGGTTCACGGCTCCGGCAACGACATCAGCTGGACATTCCAGTCCACCCCCATCTTCCTCCCCGATGTCGATCTCGCCTGCTTCGCCCTAGATCTCGAAGGTCATGGCCAGTCCAACGGCCTCACAGCCTTCCTCCCCGATGTCGATCTCGTCGTCGATGACTGTCTCAATTTCTTCACATTCATCACTGCCAACACACAAGCTTCATGTGCTACAGGCTCTGCTTCCGATTAGCATCCCGTTCTCTCTCTCTCTCTACTCAAGGGTGACCACTTTCCAACCCCTTATCTCCAGCAGATTCCTACACACACACCCATTGGCGGAGGGGGGAGACGGTTTCTCTCTCTAAAAGACCCACCCACTCACCTTTTTTGTGGCAGCTTCATTCACTTCTAAGCTGGTCTGGACGAAGAATCGCATCCACCAAGAAGAGCTCCGCATTTTGGCTGGACGTCCAAATCTGGATAACTCTGCAACTTTAGCTCTCTGTGTTCCAGGATAACCTGTAAAAATAATAAGACCATCGGTAGACACTCTTGCCAAATCCGGAAGAGTCTTGTTCAGGTACTTTGGTGAGAGGTAATCCAGTGCATCTGATACACGCCTTGAGGGATTTGCATGCCTCCTTGACATGATGACTATTTGCTTTTAAATTACAGTGAACCTATATGATTTTTTACACTTCAGATCAGCTTCGAATCTCTCACTCTCTTTCATAACTGACCATTTGACCACCTCATTTCTCACGCGTCCTCTCCTCTCACTCACTTTCCTTTTTTTTTTAATCAACCCACCGCCCAGCTATTTCTCTTTTCTTAAAAAAAAAAAAAAAAAAAACAGACAGCTTTCCATTACGCAGTCCAACCTCACCATCTCTCTCTCTCTCTTGGCACGAACTGCTTTCCCTTCATCTTTTATTATTACACCCAGCCATCATCACATGCTTTCCCTTCATCTTTTATTATTATTCTTATTATTCATCACATGCTTTCCATTCATCTTTTATTATTATTATTATTATTCTTATTAAATAAATAAATAAATAAATAAATAAATAAAATACCAAACACCATTGCAAACAATTTACAAATTTGCACCACCAATTATATTTTATTCATCTCAGGGCACAACCCCGATCACACTTTTACACACCAACACACAAAAAAAAAAAAAAAAAAAAAAAAAAAAAAACAACAAAACATTTCCAAATTTGCACAACAGCCCATATTTTATTCATGTCGGGATCCACCCCGGTCACAATTTTACACACACAAAAAAAAAAAAAAAAAAAAAAAAAAAAAAAAAAAAAAAAAACAAAAAAAACCACATCCACAGGCAGGATTTTTCTTCTCTACTCTGCCGCCGGTCTCTTCTTCTTGCCTCCGTCCTGAGGCGCCCTTGCTGGTGTTGCCTCCGTGTTTCCCACTCCACTGGGCATGATCACTCCCCCATACTCCTCCACTGCAGCATATGGCGGACCTCCAAATCGGAACATCACGGTGGCCTTCCGTTTCAGCTCCTTATTTTCCGCCTTTAGCACACTTATCTCTGCTCGCGCATCCTTATACATGCGTTGGAGCAGAGCCAGTTGGGAGTTGGGACACATCCAAACACACCCTCCTAGACCACAACATACACTAGTCGAACAAATGGCACACCAATCATAGGCCCAATCAAGCTCTGATACCAAATTGAAAAGTCTAACCCACACTTCTCCCTAAAACCCAGGTATTAAGGAGAGGGAAACTGGAACCTTATATTTTAAGGAGAGGGAAACTGAAGCCTTATAAGCAGTACAGATGGGGCAATTCCAGGCGATGTGGGACACATCCAAACACACCCTCCTAGACCACAACATACACTAGTCGAACAAATGGCACACCAATCATAGGCCCAATCAAGCTCTGATACCAAATTGAAAAGTCTAACCCACACTTCTCCCTAAAACCCAGGTATTAAGGAGAGGGAAACTGGAACCTTATATTTTAAGGAGAGGGAAACTGAAGCCTTATAAGCAGTACAGATGGGGCAATTCCAGGCGATGTGGGACACATCCAAACACACCCTCCTAGACCACAACATACACTAGTCGAACAAATGGCACACCAATCATAGGCCCAATCAAGCTCTGATACCAAATTGAAAAGTCTAACCCACACTTCTCCCTAAAACCCAGGTATTAAGGAGAGGGAAACTGGAACCTTATATTTTAAGGAGAGGGAAACTGAAGCCTTATAAGCAGTACAGATGGGGCAATTCCAGGCGATGTGGGACACATCCAAACACACCCTCCTAGACCACAACATACACTAGTCGAACAAATGGCACACCAATCATAGGCCCAATCAAGCTCTGATACCAAATTGAAAAGTCTAACCCACACTTCTCCCTAAAACCCAGGTATTAAGGAGAGGGAAACTGGAACCTTATATTTTAAGGAGAGGGAAACTGAAGCCTTATAAGCAGTACAGATGGGGCAATTCCAGGCGATGTGGGACACATCCAAACACACCCTCCTAGACCACAACATACACTAGTCGAACAAATGGCACACCAATCATAGGCCCAATCAAGCTCTGATATCCACTTCACCTACCTCCACTTCACCACACACTCCACTTCACCTAACCCACTATCACCTCCACTACACCTACTACCACATTTTCTTCTATATGTAGATTGTATAGGAATTGTAATTAATCAATCTTGTAATACAACAATCTTGTAATCATCAATTAATCAATCAATAATACATAAATTCTTACAGAACCCTTGAATACAAAGTACAATTCTTGGGTTTGGAACTCTTTACCTATTCTTCGCCATTCTGCGTTTATAACATAGGTTCTTGAGTTCTCTAGGCTTCTTTTCTTCTTTCTTGTAACAACCTCTTTAGCTCTTGATTTCTTTCTCTCTCTCTCTGATCTTTTCACTTCTGATTTTCTGATCCTTGATCTTGTGTGATGGTCCTCGTATTTATAGAGGGCCATCCAAATGATAAGAATGCCTCATCCTCAATTTGAATTTCAAACTGAACGATAGCGCCATTTGAATTTTGAATAATAGCGTTATATAATTAATCGTATATCTGATTAACCGGATTGATCTTTGGGGTTTCATCCTGTGTGGTGTCCTTGTTGTAGGCTCTACAGATGTCATTTTTCGTTGGCTCCACGTGTCATTTGAGCATCTTGAATAACGTCATTGAGATACGACGTTGTTTTATTTATATACTTCAACGGAGCAAGTTGATCATTTTGGGAAGTGACTGCCTACAACAATCTTATCATAGGCTCTATGTGTGTCATAGACTGTATTTGAAATTTAAACATAGATTTAGTTGAAATTTATGTGCCAACATGGTGTGTCCCATATATGTCCCTGAAGTGTCTGCATGTCCCCGTAGTGTCCGTGTGTCCGACACGGATACAACACTTGTTTTGAAGTGTCGGTGTTTCATAACTTTCACATCTTGAGATCAAGATAATGATCACAAGAAGCCTGTCTTTAACAAAGAAAATTTAGTGAGTGTTTGGGAAATGGGTTTTTATGTAGGTTTTTTTAGTTGTAGGATATTATTGGATAAAATTTTTTTAGTGTTTGGGAAGATAGTTGGGTTTTTTTGTGGTTGGATGTGATGTTTGTGAGAGAAAAAGTGAAATGATTATGGGGTTGGATGTGATATTTTGTTTGAATGTGTTTTTTTTTTTTGTTTTGCAAAAAGTTAGTCCTTCAGTGGAAAAAATAAAAAAAAAATCCCAAACCCAACTTCCCAAACATCACCTTAGTAAATTTTGAATTCAGAGATAAACAAATTTTTAGCCTATGTCTTGTCTATAAATAACTATGGTGAGATGCAGTGCTAAGCTACAGGCTTTTTATCCTTCAATTGGCTTCTTCTGTCTGGGAGATCTCCCAGTTCACAAACAACCTTGTAGGATGTTCTTATTTTTCTACTTCATTTCCTTATTAATGTTCTGTTGCAATTGCTTCAAACATCCTGCTGAGCAACTTCCAAATGACTGTTGTGCTCTGGATTACATAGGCTATATATTGAATCTGGCTATCAATTAGGCAGGAAGTCCTGATTCTACGAGTGTTTTAATGAAAGCTTGTCATTTGCTTCTTCTTCAGGGATTGTAAACTACTTTAACTGCTTAACCTACAGACCACTGTCACCTGTTGATTTAAACTAAAGAATGACTCAATAACATTTAAAAGACAACTAATACTATCAGGCCGCATTTTATTATTCTCTTCAAAGGAAATCCCAGGAAGGAATTCATATAGAATGGGTAAGCTCTATTTATTTTGTTCTCCACTAATATATATTTCCCGAAAAGATGAGAAAGATGGATTTCTTTGTTGGACAAAATGCCAGTTTTTTGGAGCTTTTATAGTCTTCTGTTGAGAAAAAAGCAGTTCTGCACCTTCACACCAGCACACGAACATGTTCCATATAGAAATATTGGTATAAAAAAAACTAGCAGCAGCAACAAAAAAATGTTTGTATTTTTGCAAATTTCTCCCATTTTAGGTAAGGATCACCGCCGGAATCGAGTGTCAAATGCATATTTCTCACTGTCTATGGCTGTTGGTAACGTGCTTGGCTTTGCCACTGGATCATACGGTGGCTGGTTCAAGATTTTTCCATTCACTGTCACCTCTGCCTGCAATGCTGACTGCCAATCTCAAGTCTGCTTTCTTTCTTGACATTGCTTTCATTGTAATTACTACATATATAAGCATATCAGCTGCCAATGAGCTGCCACTGAACCATGGACCCTCTCACTTACGTGAAGAAATGCCCGAACAGTCAAGTCATGCTCAAGAGGCTTTCTTCTGGCAGTCAAATCAAGTCATGCTCAAGTCATGTTTGGAACTTTTAGATATCTCTCAGGTCCTGTTTGGGTTATCCTTCTTGTTACTGCTTTGACTTGGTTTGGCTGGTTTCCATTTCTTCTCTTTGATACTGATTGGATGGGTCGGGAAATTTATGGTGGCAAGCCAAATGAAGGACATAATTATAATAGGGGAGTCAGAATTGGTGCATTTGATCTGATGTTGAATTCAGGGGTTCTGGGAATAACTTCTGAGTTCATGGAGAAGATGTGCCGGAAGTAGGGGGCTGGTGTTGTATGGGGCATTTCAAACATCCTTATGTCTCTGTGCTTTGTATCAATGCTTATACTTTCTCACATAGCAAACAATTTGCATAAAGCACACGATGATCTACCTCCAGATGGTATTGTAGCTGCTGTACTAGTAGTTTTTTCAATTCTTGGCATTACTTTGGCAGTAAGTTGCTCTGTTCTCCTCAAGAAGTTTTTTGTCATCTTCTAGTCATTGCTCAAATGAAGTAGAGGACAAGATGTTTTAATAGAGCTGTCTCCCCTTGTGAAAATATGCATTGCTAACACCTGACCAGTTCATGCATGCAAGGTCACTTTGCATTGATTTCACCCATTTTATCTTAGATTATAACATTATATGTCCTAGTGTTACATATAAAAAATGATGTCTAGTGGTCATCCTCAAAATCTCTCTCAAGTCAGAAAAATGCAAGATTCAAGGAGAAAAAGTCTAATGTAGTACAGAGGAAAACCATACAGTTTGATTTTGGCTTGGTAGATTACACCATGTCAGGTTAGCCCATGATATGGGGTTTGGCGTGCCTGTATTCAGGCAATAGTAACTGTTAGGTCACCAATTGTCCCCAGAACTCAAGTTGTTAGAAAATGGGCACAACAATGTATATCAAGTTATTTAACACCCTCTCTCACGTGCAATCTCGTCTTGCATGTGGAGATGCAAACATCCATACATAAACAAAAGAAAGAATGCAAACGGAGAACTTGAACCTAATAGCCCCCCTAACCTATGCTCTGATACCATGTTAAGTCACTGATTGTTCCAAATGCTTAAGTTGTTTGGAAATAGGCCCAACCTTCAACAGTAACATGGTCACGTGACTCCGATTTTGACTTAAAGAAGACAAGCAAAAGCATTTTTATAGTTTTAAAATATTTTTTAATGACAGTTTTTGAACTTGATGTTGATATATTCGCTTCAAACAAATGAACCTTCTCCAACTGTTTCTTTGTCTGAACCAAAGAGAGAGATCAGAATGGTGTTGGCAGTGCGGGCATCCTCATCCAAATATTCTCAGTGGCTTTATGATAGAATTCTGTTTTAACAATATTGATTTGTGTTATTTGATACGATGCTTCGCAGATCACTTACAGTGTTCCTTATGCCTTGATATCTTCACATGTTGAGTCTCTAGGACTCGGCCAAGGTGGGCTATTCCTGGATGTTTTGCTTTTGTCTTCTCATATCTAGTAGTAGAGTGCTTATGCTGATGGTTTGATGTTGCAGGATTATCAATGGGTGTTCTGAATGTGGCAATTGTAATCCCACAGGTAGTAACTACTTAGACCTTCTTATTGTGTTCATAGTAATGTTGATTTGTTTCTTTCCTTTTTAGCACGACTAAGTTAAAGTGGCGTGGAAGCGGTAGTTGTTTAGAAGCCTACTTGATTACCCTCAACTATTTGATCATTAGTCAGAGACTCCAAGAATAATATGTAGTTACTCATTGGTGACCCTTAATATAGTAATTTACTCTTCAATACCCACTTGATGGCAGTGCGTTGCACTTGAAGTCTGGAACAGGTATGGAGATTTTTGAATTGACATAATGATCCTGATTGAAATCTTATAGTTATACTAATTGCTTTGGTTTTAGTAGTTAATTTTGCCAGGCATTGATTAATTAATTCCATTACTTTCAGTTGAGGGCAGTTAACTTGAATGTATTTGAACAATGAGAAAGGGTGTGATCCTCATATTCTGGATGTTATAGTGTGGAGTAAGATAAAAGAAAAAGAATAGTGATTTTCTTCAATGGAACATCTCTACTACAATTTTATTTAAAAATTTTGTTGGTTTTGCGAGCCTCTTTACTGTGTTTTTTATCAGCAAGTTATAAATATCTAGTAATCATACAAATTCTAGAGGTGCTGCAAATTTAAATAATTGTGCATGCATGTGAAAGCGTCTTGTGTGACATTAGGCATGAGTTACTTATTCTTAATTCCAGTAGAGATGTGGAAATTGTCACACTTTAAGCAGGTATTTTTGTGGCTCTCATGAAATTTACACGTAAAATGAAGTTTTTCAAATATCTCAAGATATCTAACCATCATTATGGGCAGCTGATCTCTGCCTCCTTTGTTTCTGTGTATGAAATGGAAGACTCCTCATGCAATACAAGTATTGTCCTTCGAAGCCTTGTTCTGTGTTATGCATCCAATAAAGGATCACTTTTTCTGTGTCTTTCTCTTGCAAATCTTCTTTTTGTTTTATAATGAAGAACTTAATTTTTTATTCTTTCATTTGAGATGGTGTTTACCTATACCAGAAATAAGGTGTTCTTTAAAGCAGTGGCAAAAATATCATGACAACCAATCAGCTAAACTTCCGGACATCCACTGATTTATTTTTGGAATTTGAGTGGAATTGAATAATGTTCAATTACTTATTTATTTATTTATTATAATTTTAAAGTGCAAACCCATGCCTTTAAAAGATTATTATTATTTTACTTTTAACTGTATCCGTAAGAAAATTATTTGAATGCATATCATTGATCACCTTCTTTACTAACTAATGCACTCTCGGAGAGCTATTGCTGTGTAGTTCTCTAGGACCGTATATTTGTGAAGAAAGTTTGTGGAACATGTGTTAATTTTATCAACAACAACTACAATAATAATAATAATAATTATAGTAATTTTTGCCTTCTCTAGCAACCCACCAAAAGTACATTGAGGCAACCTTAACATTATGCTTGGGCAATTGTAGAATGGGATGTTTTTGTTATCTCTTAAAATAGTGGATTCACAATAAATGTGCAATTCAATCGACTCTAGCTATAGTAAAGTGCATTCTTTTTTAATTTGTCTTAGTAGGTTTTCTTTATACTTCTAATATGTTCAGCTTTTGTTTATTGTTGGTGCTTCCTGTTAAACGATTCTACTAATTGGTTTAAGTGCAAATGAAGATTTCTTGGAGGAAAAACATTGAATAGCATGTAACTCAAGTGTTCCTGTTTTTAGCTATTTAGGTGATGATAGTTTGGTGTTTGAGAACAAATTGTGGTGTCTCGTGGAAGTGGACCATGGGATCAGCTATTTGGTGCTGGTAACTCACCATCTTTGGCTGTGGCAGCAGTTGCAGCCTTTACTAGTGGGCTTATAGCCATCTTGGCTATTCCACGAGCTGGAGCTGATAAGTCCAGGGGCCAGTAATGAGGTAATCTGTTGTATCCTACATTACATGGACTCAGTTATGGGCAAAAAATGCAAGTAATTGTCCGAGTGGCGGATTTATCCAATTCCCATATCTAAGGAGACGGGGATATGACATATTTATGCTTCTTAATATTCTTTTATTTTATAGGATAAAATGGTGTTTACAAGGTCACATAAAACATTTCTTGCATAATGTGAGAGTTTTAAGTTATATGGAAAACTCGAATGGTTGGACAGGCTTGTTGAATGAATGTCCAACTGCACGTCAGAGATATCCCATACCGGGTAAGTGTCAAATGTCCAATATGGCTACTTCACACATTTAGAAAAGTACATGTAACATAGGTTGTATTGTATATATCTTGCATTTTGTACATAGCTTTGGGTAGATTTATATTGATTTCCATTGTATGGCTTTTTTTTTCTTTTTTTTTTATATTGCTTCATTTTTTTTTTTTTTGGTCTGCATTGCGTCATTCAACCTACTAAAGTTAGTGGATATAATGTCTATTTTCTGGTTTAGTTATTTAAATTGCATCCAATATAAGCTATACTCCATGTGACAGATAAAGATTGGAGTTCAGAAATAAAGCAACAACATCGATAAAAACTTTGTTGTGTTAGGTGAAACAAAAATGTCTCATTTATAGGTGTGGTATGTACTTGTGTCACCTATTGCTGGACAGTGGATTTGAGTTCCACTACTTTTAAAGCAACAACAGTTCAATTATCTGTGTGACCTAAATGACTCATGTATGGATATTTTAGATGTGTTCATAATATTTGTCATTGCATACTTTCCCGAGAGAAGTATCCAATTGAGGTATAAAGAGAGGTTTATACCTTTTATGCCCAAAATTGCAACTCTTCAAGTGATGATCTAACTGCTGTGGTGAATGCTGTGTGGAAGAAGTTATCTGTACTTTGTGGAGAATTTTCTTTAATGAAGAACGAACCCATCTAGAATTTTTGCTTTACGGTGGCTGATCACCATCTAGAAGAAAATGAAAGCCTCAACCATGGATTTTATGTGGGATTGCTCTCTATAATTCCGTTCCATACCAAGATAAGTTGCTGTTGATCGTGATTTGTTCCTCGTGCAATAGTATGGTCCCTTTCTTCTAGGAATGCTGATAGCCCATTGATGGTTCAGTTGTTGATGTTGTGGAATCTTATGCAGATTGTTTGCAAATTGTGTTTGGGTATTTTAATTGTGCTTGGTGGCCAACAGTTATATGTAAACTGTGCAGATTGAGACCTCCATGGATAGATGTCTCTTTTATGCTCTGTTTCTTTGGAAAGCTTTTGCTGATTTTTGGGGAGGATGCTCTGCTCTGTATCATTATTTTGTAAATTATTCTCTTCTTTTTTCCCTCCCTTTTTTTCTTGCTGGCTTTGGAACCTTGGAATAAATTCCCCTTTTTATTGCACTTATTGGCTTATGCTGATGTATTATGTCTTCATCGTCGATGTAAATAAAATAAAAATAAAAAAACTCAATGCATGTGACTCTTGCTAAAGTGGAGTGTCGAGAGGGCAAGATGATTTTGGCTTCTTCTAAGAGTTGGTGTTTTCGACTATTTTAGCTCGGTTCATCTTCGCCTTTAGTGAACATCTTTAAAATTAACTCAAATAATTACTTTTTAAATTTGTCTCGATCTTAAAAATTAATTTTTTATTTTATTTTTTTGTTAGAAGTTCATAAAAGACAAAAATAACTAATTTTGCAAGTATATAGATATAATTTGATTTATTTTTGTCTTTAGTAAAATAGTTTTAAAATTGACTCAATTTGTAATTTTTATTTATTTTATTTGAATGTTCTAGTCTTGACAGATAAGTAAAACAAAATTAACTGGAAGGTTGCGTTTATTTCAGAGTGAGTTTTTCCCGCAGTTGGCTAGTTAAAAAGTAAGTAAAATAATTTTTAAATAAAATATTCATTATCATAAAGCGTAAAATGATTAATGTTTAAAAATTTTGAAAGTTGTTCTCAAAAAAATAATAAAATAATACAAAAATAATCTTAAGTTACTCTTTTTTTATTTCTTTTTTTTTTTCATTGCAATTGATATTACTTGACATACACGTCAATCATTATTATTTTCATACACGTTGAACGTCGTAGTTCTCTCTCTCTTTATATATATGTAATGATGTGTCACATTCATATTCACTAATTGAAATTCAAAATTCTCATTATTATAGTTTGTAAGTGTCATTGGCACATCGTTTATGTGTTCAATGTTAAATAAAAAATGTATGAATATGATTTATTTTTATTTTTTTCGTAAGTTGACTCTATAATCGGTTCTTTATTAAGATTTTTATGGTAAAAAATATTTAAGTATTAACTAAACCAAAAAAAAAAAAAATTTTGGACAATTATTTATATGTAAATTTTTAGGCGGTGAAATAAACATAGTCAAAGTCAAAAAAAAAAAAAAATCGAAAAAAATGAGTCAATACTTGAAAGTGTTCATCAGCATTCTATTCTAAAGAAAAAGGTGAAGGAATGGATGCTGTGAAACTGTTCTAGAGAGAATAATTATATCCTTGAAAGTGCTGTCCAAGTTTGTGTTACAAGGACACTTTTTTATCTACAACTTGTGTTGTACAACAAAGTTCTCAAGTTTGGCAAAACTTATTGGAGCTAGAGAGCCATGTGGTGCACCTGACAATGAAGGAGAAATTATAATTTGGTCTAGAGGCAGCATTGCATGGTGTTTTTATCCTATTTTTATTAATTAGAAAAATGCTTCGGACCCCCAGTGAGGTGGCACTTCGTGATTGGGCCAAAAAAAAACTTTTTTTTTTTTTTTTTTTTAAGTTTCAGCCAGTGAGGGCTCGCCACCTCACTGGGGGTCTGTAGCAGATCTGTATAAATTAGGCTATTGTTGATGGAATTGTGTCAAGATATTTTTATTTATTCGTCAGATCATTAATCAATCAATGAGCTGTTAGAGTGTCAGCTGGCTCTGATCTTGGACCACTTAATAACTTCTCACAATGAAGGTATGGTTTTCATAGAAATAATTGACAGATATACATAGGCAAATAGAAACCCCCAATTTAGAGGTACAAACTCATCCATGTTGTGTGTTGGGTTGTGTTTGGTGTTGTGTTGTGTTGTGAGAAAAGGGATACAAATTAAATGGTTGTGAATGGTCTTTTCCTTCTGCTTCCTATCTTCCATCTGTCGGTTCTCCATGCATACATACATACATCCTTAAGTAATCTCTAGTGGTCCCTTCCCTTGGATACATTACCTCTAAAGTATAGTGACATTTCATGAGTAGGAAAAAGTATGCAGTAAAAGTTCTAATAAATATACAATTAACATACTTTGTGTATTTGGACAATATCATAAAATTGCAAAAATCTCAGTACCATACACACCATCGTCACTGTTGCCATTTCCACCAATGCAAACCACCTATTGTCTCAAAAATTTCTACTATTGCGAAACCCTCTCTGTTGCAAGCCGTTCCTCATCTCTCTCTAACCCTAACCATTGTCAGTTAGTCGTGGCGGAGAAGGCACTAAGGTGGTCACAAACAATGGGGTAGGTGTTAGGGTGATTGAGGAAAGGTGGGAGTAGAGCGGCTGTAGGTAGTGGGCAAGGTGTTGGGGTGATTGAGAGAAAGTGAGACTAGGGTGGTCGTATATGAATTCATTGCAAGTCAATATTGGACTCGTTAGTACATGTGTTCGTGTCATGATTTAGTTATATTGATGAAATTGGTTGTATCTTCTTCATATTTCAAGATGATTTCGATACTCAATTATAGACAATATCGAGTGCAACGATATCACATAATATTGTCACTTAATGAATAACTTTAAGTATAGTCAGACAAGAATCCTTTTGTTAGTTAAGTTAGTGACAAAATTGTCATATAAATAAGACTATATAAGATGGGGGCACATTCCACACAATATTTATTCCCAAAATCATGGAGACTAGGGCACATATGGTGTACCCAAATGTCTTTCTTAAGCCAACAATTCATTACCTAGGTTCATTAGTGGTTGAGGAAGATCTTAGAGGGGACCACTTGATGATTATAGGACCTAACTAAACCAACATCAAAGGCCCAGCAAAAACCAACCATTTAAGGTTGATTAGACTGATATATATAACATTAGTTTTAATACCTTGATGGGAGAAGTAATTTGGTGCTTGTGGGACATGGCTAAGTGATGTCTAGGACTGTTGTGATTGGAAGGAGACTCACAAATTTGTGTTGGGACATAAAAAAGAAAAATAATAGACTTGATACCTTCCTAAAATAATTACAGATTCATGAAAAATAAAATTTAATACTTTAATTATTAAAATTTCTAAAATTTACCACTAATCTAAATTTGTTTTTAAAACCTACACTAAATAGTGATTTTCTCATAATTTTTCCCTTGATATCATGGAGCACAAAATCTGTGTATGCCTGTGCTTCTTTCTCACTTCGAATCCTATGTTCCCATCCTCTTTTATTTATTTTATTTTTTAATTTTAATAAATTTGTCATCTCGTTGTCTAAATTCAACCATTTTCTATTAAATTTAGAGAGATTTATCATACAATAAAAATATAATTAAGACATAAAAAGATCAAAAAAAAAATTGAAAACATATAGCCCGTTTTCATTTTTCCTCTTGCATGATTTGCCCTCATAGTTTGTGCAAGCAAGTGAAAAAAGAAAAAAAAAGAAAAGAAAAAAAAAAGTGAGTAAATATTAAATATAACATATCACTAATTAATGAAAAAATTTATGTTGCAGTAGTATAGAAGTGTATTTGCAACTGTAACATCATAGTGGTGTACTATTCTCTGTCATACATTTGTGGAGTCCACACTTGTCGAGTCTATGGATAATTATTTAATAGTTTTGAAATAGTATATGATATTTGTTAGTGAAAATATTAAAAAAATTATATTTTATTGATAAATAATACAAAAAAATGAGATATAAATAGATCAGGCTGAGATACGGATATATCATTTTCTTTAAGGAGATCAAGCCCCTACGGTAGGAATAACCCAAATACCGATGCAACAGTCACAAAACTATGACTTGTCTCCTATAGGATACAGCAGTCCGACCACTTGTCGTATGGTTCAGACCAACTCTGCACAAGATGGTGAACCCAAAGCTCCACGAAGAAAAAAACACATTTCTTTGGCTAGTAATCTCTCAAGTATAAAAAATAGTTGGTGTAGAAAAGAGTAGATGAGATGAACAATATATAGGCCACTAGGACCTTACAAATTACACCAAAAAATAATAATGATCATTAAACTAGAGAAAATGGAGTCTCCAAATATTAACTCACTACCAAGTTCATGAACTTCCAATTAATCTCCATTCATAAACAAGACAAAAGGTCACCAAAAAACAATGAATCACCATTCACCAAGCAAAATGAGATTCATGAACAAGACAAAAGGGAATTGGGGAGGCTACTACGCAGCCCACGCAGTAGCGGCTATTGTGCGGTGAAATGGGCCCATTTCGGGGTCCATTTTGATAATCTGAACCGTTCACATTTTAAAATACATCAAGTAGAACATGCTTGTAAAAAATCAAGTTAATCGGATATCGTTTACTCATTCATCCACTCACACTTGTATTCATTTTAATACCTTAAATTACAATTATTATTTATTTTTGTAGATACAAATATGAGTGGATAAATGAGTAAACGATATCTGATTAACTTAATTTTTTGCAAGCATGTTCTATTTAATTTATTCTACAATGTGAACGGTTCGGATTATCAAAATAAGCCCAAAATAAGCTCATTTTGCCTCAAAACCGCAACTACTACGTGGGCTGCACAACAGCGTCCTCACTTCTAGACAAAACAAGATTCATGAACAAGACCAAAAAAGTCACAAAAAATAAAAACAAATAAATAAATAAAAAGTTATTAAAATGGTCCAACAATCCCCCACTCATTTTAATATCAACAAGGATAAGAGAGATTACCAAACAAAGATAGACTAGTATGCATGAAGAAGGTGTGCTCTGCATTAAACCTCCGTTAGTGAAATATCAACCCCTACTCCAGAGTCAGTAGTGGTCTCAAACTTGAACTATGATTACTTAGGGGAAATAAAGTATTACTGCTCACACATAATAATTCAGGTGTGTAAGGTCCCGGTGTCCCATATCGGGAATGGAGGGTGAGTTCTTAGGCTATAAAAGTAAAAGCCTGGACCCTTATATAGTATCGAGGCCTTTTCCTAGGTGGTGAAATCCCTAGCAAAACTCTTCAGTTAAGCGTGCTTAGGCTAGAGTAGTTCTGGGATGGGTGACCCACTAGGAAGAATAAATCCGTGTGGGTGTGGCCTAAAGCGGACAATATCGATGACATGTGAAAGGTTGGGGCATTACAAATGGTATTAGAGCCGACTCTCCGGAGTACC